AAAGCGCGAGCAAAAACTTGTTTGTCACGGGGCGAACAAAAGGGCCAGGTGACGATGCATGGTGAGCCACGGCGGTCGTTCTCGACTGGCGCTGGGAGTGGGGAAGCGACACAGCGGCGGGGCAGCCCAGCACCGGGGTGGACGAGGAGTTCTTCGGGAGCGTTGGCACGGTACGGAGGTCTTCTACAGCCACGGGAGAGTTTGAGAGAGAACAGACGGGCGCGGAAAAGAACTTAGCCGCGCGAACGAGACATTGAGCCGAGCACCGAAGAGCGATCCCGCGTAGTACACGGCGCGTAATAAACGTTTATACCACGAAATTCCGAAATGAACACGCGCTTTTGACAACGCGACATCGTACACGAGTAGCGGAGCGTAATTCTTTTCGACGAACCGAGTGCGGTTACCTTTTCGATCCATGTATCTGAAACAAAGAATATACATTCTATTTCATTTGTTCTCGTAAACTGCGAGTAAAATTTATTCATCTATCCTACCTAAAACAACCCCCAAAGATCCATACTCACCCATTCCCAAATATACTTACCTGTTGGCGTTCCTAAATCTCCGACGAACGGCGATCCTGAGGCAGTCCAGAGGCGTGCTGATCCAGCAGGGGCGACGAGTCCAGCGGTGCACAGCTGAAGTCCCGACGACGGTCCGAAACGCAGAGGCGTGAGTCCCACGACGATCCCGGAGTCCGAGTAGAACCTGAAACAGAAAGAAGGAGAGGAATTAGTGGGAAGTCACTGAAATCAGGGACGGTAGGTGGTCAGTTCATATCCTTCTCGGTGGGTTACGAGGTCAAACCGAGTGGCGACCGTTTGAAGTATAGGGCCGATCCATAAGAGCGATTATAACGATCCTCCGTTCGGTCACAGTAGAATCACGAGTGGAAAGCGTGCGCGCGGGCATTGTTGTTCGAGCATCGTACGTGACGCTCGGGTCCTCGAGCTTGCAATCGACCATTAGGTATACACGGCGGGCATAAACGCGTCCGGAACTAATACACAATTGACCATGCCTTACAACATGGCGACCGTGACAGGACTCGAGTTTGATTGCGTGTGACGTGCGAATGGCGATGTTTCGCGTAATCGCGAACACAGAGCGCAACCGTTAGATAAAAGATTGCGAATAACGTCGGAAATCCGTGTGCCAAAGGAAATAGCGACCGACCATTGAAGCCACGAGTGAAGATAGGACAACGCGTAGCGAAAGGAAATGTGTAACAACGTGCGGTCAAGCGACGCGACATCGTGATTCCCGATGGGAAAACGCGACGGAAACAATCGCGCCTAAACACCGTACGACGTTTCACGCGACTCCTCACAAGGCGAAGGCAAAAAGTGATTGGGCGCAAAGGCGACGAAAAACGGTGAGAGACGAAAAAGCGATCATAACGGGAAAATTATACGAAAAGTATAGAGGTTCGAGTAACCGCGAGCACAAGTGGAAGAGACGCGCGAGAGAAACGCTAATAAAACGTGCAACCGCGCGAACGCGAAATCGCAGCGTAAAAACCAATAATGGTACGCAATGCGACAGAAACCAGAATCGCGTGAGACGGTGTACGAGTGTTTCGCGCGAACCGTAAAAGCGTAAAGCGGCGAAGTGGATCGATAAGCACGAGTAGTGCGTAGAATAAATAAGACGGGGCGAGAAGCTTCGCAAATAAATCAACAAAAATACGATTAGCGAGGGCAGAATTAGATAGACGCGTGACGACAAGCGCTGTAACGTCGTGTATCTGTAAGGACGCGAAGTCGTGGCGTAAATCTTTCAAGGTACGCAACACGGCGGAAAACAGAATCGCGGAAATCGGAATACGAGCGTTTGACGCGAATCGAGAGAAGAGTATCGCGAAGATATCGTAGTAGAGAAATTAGCGCGAGGAAAAACGTGCGATATACGACGGGGAAGCAAATAGCTTACCTACGCGTAGATTAAACAAAAAAGATAAATAAAGGTATCCCTAGCAAACGCGGAGATACGAAATTCGAAAGCGATACAATCGCGAATAAAGAAAACAGACAAAGTCTACGCGGAAGGGTAACGCGGTTGAAGACGCAAGAATAACGAACGAAGCGAAACGTTATGACAACGTGTGCCAAAGGAACGCGACGTCGCAGCGCGAATACGCGCACGCGATCGTAAACAAACGCGCTGATAGGGTCACACGAGCGTTCCGTAACGTCGAAAAGAGCGAAAAGAAGAAAACCGACGTAGCTAGCGTAGCAAATAGACAGATTGTTAGTGGGGGTTATGCCGAATTTGTTACGTTCGCCGATAACCGCCCACCACACCAGATCGCAAGGACCATTACCGCCAGAAAGACAGGCAGGTCTGCAACCGAACGTGCGACGACGTAGAAATACTCATAGTGCGATGGAAAATACTCAGCAGAATAACGAATATCAGACGCAACAACAACAACAAGAGAACGACGATATAACGCGCAACGCGGCAGACACGGCAAACGCGAATCGAGCAATGAATTTGAGTCGAGATCGCGACGACAATTTAGATATACGCGAGATAATCCGGCAGAATCAGGAATTTCGCGAACGAATCGAAATAATGACGGAGCAACTCGTGCGTATGCGGACAGATAGGCGACAGGCCGAAGCGATTCGACCATTCGTCGACGACAATCGTAGCGAACACGAGCAATCGGTGAGAGATGGAAACGCCGAGAGAAAATTGAACTCGTGGGTCTACGACGACGAACCGGATCAACGACGCGAAATAGCCTTAGTACCGCTACAAGCGCGATTACCACGCGGCGGATGGATCCGA